GTGTCTGTACCAGAAGTCACCATTTGTAATGGAGCAGTGCACCAAAAGAATGACCTACCCAGACTGGGGCAGTGGTTGCTATAAGGTAATAATGTAATGGTAGATCTCATGAGAGATGGGACAGTCGCTGCAGAATTGTGTCTATATATCAAAAGTTTTGGGTCATAAAGATTTTTTTTAATGTTTTTGAAAGAGGTCTCTTATTCTCACCAAGGCTGCATTTATTTGATCTAAAAGTAAAAACAGTAATATTGTGACATAATATTACAATTCAAAGTAACTGCCTATAAATTTTTTTTTTCTTTTTTCAATACAGTTATAAAAGCACAATATTTTGTAACATTATGTCTTTACTGACACCTTTGATAATTTCTCTTAATGATAGTGTAAATATGTGTGTAAGTAAAATGATTATAAATAATAAAACTTTTTTTTTTTTCAACTGGGGCATTATGTACCACCGCAACATAGGAAACTGATGCTTTATGTGTACTGAAACTGTGATTTGTGTTGCAGGTGTCTTGCACAGCCCAAGGGTTGTTGGTCTGGGTGCAGAATGAGTCCTATCCATGTGTTCGTACTGGTCAGGTGATCAACGTGAGCATACGAATGAATGGATGGGTCTACAGTGGACAGCTCATCTGCCCAACCTGCTCTGAATTCAAAGTAACTGCCTATAAATTTTTTTTTTCTTTTTTCAATACAGTTATAAAAGCACAATATTTTGTAACATTATGTCTTTACTGACACCTTTGATAATTTCTCTTAATGATAGTGTAAATATGTAAGTAAAATTATTATAAATAATAAAACTTTTTTTTTTTTCAACTGGGGCATTATGTACCACCGCAACATAGGAAACTGATGCTTTATGTGTACTGAAACTGTGATTTGTGTTGCAGGTGTCTTGCACAGCCCAAGGGTTGTTGGTCTGGGTGCAGAATGAGTCCTATCCATGTGTTCGTACTGGTCAGGTGATCAACGTGAGCATACGAATGAATGGATGGGTCTACAGTGGACAGCTCATCTGCCCAACCTGCTCTGACTTCTGCAGCGTCTGCCCCCTCCCTCATGAGATCTCCCCTCAAAACACCACCAAGAGTGCCCACTTAGGTAAGTTACTGTCTAACACTCATCACATCACCATGTCTATGGCTGTAAGACTATACTATGAGTGGTTGCTTATTGGTGTTATTTTTAATATATACTGTATTTATACATATAAAAGTTTTATTATTATTATTATTATTATTATTGATAATGCATATCAAATATGTATGGATAATGTAGTAAATGAGTAAACATTGATAAGTAAATATTAATATTAAATCAAAATTATTATTATTTTTTTGTAATTCAAATGGTAATTCAAAGTTTTTATAAAAATCATAAAACAGTCCTACAAGATGCATAAAAATGACTATAAAAAGTTAAAAAAGAATAAACATATTAAATATAAAATTTAAATTTTAAAAACTGATTACAAATATTAGGCTACTGTTTAAAAAGCAAAAAAAAAAAGTTACTGAAGCCACCAATTTTGCCTGTCTGAAATAAAATGATTATGATGATTATTTATAAACATCAATTGTGTGAAATGTTGCAAGAAAAAAAAGTTTTCCAAATATAGAAGGTAAACCAGGTACATACTTTAACAAGGTTCAAACAATGCAAAATATGTTTGTTTGCCAAAAAAGGCTAATTTATTTCATATTAAAATCATTCTTTTCTTTTCTCAGATCCTTGTTCCAGGTCTTCATGTTTGGTGTTGAACTTATGGCAGCTCCTGTTAACTCTTACTCCACTGCTGATCGGCTTCCTCCTTTTTGGCAGGGACTGAATTTGTTCCCAGTTTATTGGGTGAATATGGATGCCTTGATATGCTACAGGCTTCCCTTGAGGTTTAGCTGCTGTGGAGAGCAAAACGGCGATTAGTGTAGTCTGTGATCTGATAACTGTTCTCTCTATGTGGAGGTGTGGACTGTAGGTGGGATTGAAAAGCCATTGATTGCACTCCTCCTTGCCTGGCTGTCTGGTGCCAGCAAGCTGTTGATCCAATGTGAAGCCATAGTCATGCAAGTTACGGTTGTGCAGGTGCTAATTAATGTTCTCTTTGTCTCTCTGATGGACCTGTAGCATTTTGGGTCATGAAATAGGCATCGGTTTGAGAATGTCGGGAGATATTCTCTCTGGTCTTCTGCTCATGGTGCTTCTCTGTTGTTTCGTAAAATTACTTGCTGGCAATGTTTTAATCAGCGTATATCAGGTCATGTGACTGACGATGCTTGTGATTTTGCATGGAGAAGTGCAGGTGAGATCTCTGTTAAGGTTCGTGCAAGTGCTGATTTTTTTTTTAATAATTTATAGAAATTTGAATGTTGCTGTTGTACAAGATAAATACTTCAGAAAGGGTTTAAACGTGTTTGAATTTATTAATACACAGTTGGGTACAAATCTGGGATTTCTTTTTAAATTTACAGGTAAATAGAACATTTTTGGATTTTTAGATATTTAAAAAAAAAAGGAAAGATAATGTAAATGAAGAAAAAATTTTCTAGGTCACTAAAAGTTGACATTGATCATGGGTCTCTTTATACTGACAGTCAGATGTTCTTGCTTCCGTTGAAGCACAAGATGCTCTTTGTATCATTCTCAAATCATGCTGGAGAACATAAGTTTACACATTCTCAAGTTCACGAGCAGCTCGAGTCAGTACTATTTTAGTATCATTAAGATACCATTGTAGTTTTATTTTATATTTTGAATTAGTTTTTATTTTAATATTTAGTTTTAGTTTTAGTCTTTTTGCTGTGAGTTTTCAACTTTTTATTTACTTTCATTTATCCTCATTTTATTTCAGTATTAGTTGCCATGTCCACACGTAAACGGGTATTTTTATAAACGGAGTTTTTCCTTTTTCTGTTTAAAAAAAAAACTCCGTCCACATGAAAACGCAAACGCATGCTATGAATCACTGCCAAGAGCATGCCAAACCATCCAACAGGTGGCGATATAATCTCAACCGTAAAGCCATGTTGGCCAATCAGAAGCCTGAAAAAGTCTCCAGTAGGCGGAGATAACAGCGCAGGCGCCAACTTCACAAGCCAAAAACTCCAGTTTCGCTGTCTACAGTGTTTTTTAGACTCTACACGATAACACTGCAAGAACCGGAGTTTTTGAAAATCTTCACCCTGGCAGGCGTTTTCAAAAATGTTTGGTTTTAAAAATAACCGCGTTTGTGTGGACAGGGAAAAATGAAGAATGTTGCCTTGGCAACTAACTGAAATAAGTATTTTTCTATTAATTTGATTTCAAGTAACAATGTTTTTTTTTTTTTTTTCATGGTTTTAGTTAACTTTAATAACCCTGGCTCGACAATGGATGACAAACCAAATACGAAGAAATTTTAAAATTTATTTTCATTTTTAATTGAACTGTTCACTCAAATTATGTTGAAATTATATAATTTCTAAGACATTTTGTACTAAATTAAATACTGTAAAATACTGCATTTTCATTAGTGGTCTCAGACGTGTGGACCTTGTTGTACGTGTGAGATTTAGTTTTATTGCATTTAGTTTTTTAACATACTGTCATTATGATTCTGTTCACCTTGAAATGTGTTGCCAGATTTTGGTCCTAAAGGGCTGTCCTACCAAGGCTGCAGATCTTTATAGACTTTGTTGTCTTATAACAATCAACTCACTAAAAACCCTTGAGAAAAGTGCTTATTATCTCTTTATATGAGATCAGATGACATTATCGTGTTGATTAGTATCTTTTTTTTTTCTTTTTTTTTTATAATGCTAATATAACATTTGTCATGGTGTCAATTCACTACAGTAGCAAGGTGCCATTAGTAGGGCTCTTTTATCTGACCTTTTTTTAAAAAAAAACAGAATATCTAGAACAGATATTCCATTAAACAACTTTTGCAGGTGTTGCAAAAAAAGCAGGTGTTGATTATTGTCCTACTGTAGTCACATTGTAACTTGCTTTAATGCATTCAAAATGTAGCCATTATTTAAAAAATGAAATTGGGGACAAATACTGAGGAGTTGCACTGTGTATGTGATAGTTTAGAGACTAGATTGTTACAGGTGTTAGAGGACTAGTGAAGGTGTCTGTTGTGTAATTATCTGGTATTTTACTTGTTCTTTCTTATCTTATAATATTGAATGAAGAACTTTTGTGGATGCTGCTCTGAATCCATGTATTTAGTTACAAAATGACGTAAGATTTGAACCCTTTGCCATTCATAACTTTTTAGTATTATAATATTTGACTTCTTTTTGTTAGGTAATACAATGCTTTCATTTTAGGACACAGTATTAGTTGCTGAGAGACAAACATGGCAGCTTTGAATACAACATTAATTTAGAGCCTTTGCATATGGAATGTTGCGTAAATATGTTTCTATTGTAGTATTGATTGCTGATGTGTTAAGAATTGTATTTTGCGTTTTAAGCGTCCTGTTTGATGAAGAGATTAATTGGGTGAAATATGGAGCAAATGAGATTCCAGATTTCATAGTGAAACTCTAAAGTATGGTGTGATTATGGTATGAATTCATATTTACTGTATGTATGTAGAGTTGGAGTTTCGAAATGTTGGACTGAATGAGTCTTACAGTTTTAGTGGCTCATTATAATGTAACTGAAGGAGTTTTGTACTCTCAATCAAACCTCAACTGAAATGCCTTTCCTTTCATGGTATTCACTCAAGGACCGTATGAGCATATAGTTTTAACAGTATGTCTGAACATAAGTTTTTAGATTGAAAGCAAACTTTTGTGTCTTGCTCATATAGGAGACCCTTTTCTTGAAAATTGTAATCATCACTGCGAGCATTGACACTTTGTAGCATTGGAACATTTACAAACATATTATTTAATTTATGTAATTATGCTTTTTCTTTTATTTACGATTCATTTGTCACAAAGGACTGTGATACATATATACATACATGCATATATATATATTATTATATATATATTATCATCATTATTATAGGACCTGTTTTCATTATTTATTTGTATTATTGCTGCATAAATAGCAATTCTTTATACATTGTAACTCAGTTTGAAAATTAAAAAATGCTTATATTTGAATTTCTAATGTTAAATCCTCATGACCTCAGTAAGCACGTCTTGCACCATTTCTGTTGAGATTATCATGAAAAATGACAGGATATTTTACATTCTAACGAAATTGTGAATTTATCAGAAGAAATTTTGTCTTTTTTTATGTCCCAATGTTCAGATGTAAACTCGACTTTGACTTGTACTGCTTTGACCAAACATTTCATTCGATATGTCTTTGTATGCCGTTTTCACTTTTCACTTATTTTATTTATCTATCTACTAATTAATTTAATAAATTTCTGAATGTTTTGGTTGGAAAATATAGTAATAATAATGTGTGGAATCAGACAAAACATTCTCTTTTGATAAAAATTGGATTCTACAACTAGTAAAAATGCATATAAATGACTATAGAAGAGAATAACAACCTACAAGCCAGTATGAGGATAAACAGAAATTGAAAATGCCAAGCCATGAGACTGTTGTAAGACCAAAGACAAGTCTATGCAGAACTAAAAATCTACCACATAATCTCTCATTATTTGTTTTTCTCCATGTTTTGTATTGTATATGGTACATTGGTGCTCTGTTTTAATGATATACAATTAAAAGGGATGTTAACAGTCCTCCTGTTGAGACATAATTTCCATTGTTAACAGTTGTTTATTTTCCCAATAAAATGAATTATGACAAAGAAACGTTTTTTTACTTTACCTTTTAAGTCAATGTTTGAAAGTGGTAAAATCCAATACATTACATGATTTTACTTGTGTTAAAAAAGTGCAGAAATGATACTGTATACATTCTTCATAACCTAAAAGAAACTTGGATTATCTATTTAAAAAAAAAAACAGATAGAAGAGAATAACAACCTACAAGCCAGTATGAGGATAAACAGAAATTGAAAATGCCAAGCCATGAGACTGTTGTAAGACCAAAGACAAGTCTATGCAGAACTAAAAATCTACCACATAATCTAATTATTTGTTTTTCTCCATGTTTTGTATTGTATATGGTACATTGGTGCTCTGTTTTAATGATATACAATTAAAGGGATGTTAACAGTCCTCCTGTTGAGACATAATTTCCATTGTTAACAGTTGTTTATTTTCCCAATAAAATGAATTATGACAAAGAAACGTTTTTTTACTTTACCTTTTAAGTCAATGTTTGAAAGTGGTAAAATCCAATACATTACATGATTTTACTTGTGTTAAAAAAGTGCAGAAATGATACTGTATACATTCTTCATAACCTAAAAGAAACTTGGATTATCTATTTAAAAAAAAAAACAGTTTTTGTTTTAGCTTTGCTGACAATAAAAAATATTATCAATATTTTTGTTATTTGTAATTTTAATATATATTATATAACAATCAACATATTTCACCATAGTTTGACTTTGAACGTCACTAGGGTGGTATCATTAAATCTGGCCAATCAGAATGAGAGCTGATCTAGCGCGCTGGTCTCCACCTAAGTTTTTGTTTTAGCTTTGCTGACAATAAAAAATATTGTTATCAATATTTTTGTTATTTATAATTTTAATATATATTATATAACAATCAACATATTTCACCATAGTTTGACTTTGAACGTCACTAGGGTGGTATCATTAAATCTGGCCAATCAGAATGAGAGCTGATCTAGCGCGCTGGTCTCCACCTAGGACTTTTAATTTGAAAGGTGGAGTATGTGGCGCTTTTAGTGTTTAGTGTTTTCACTAAACACTAAAAATGTAATTCTAGTAAGCTGTATTGATATAATCAATATGCTATGAATAAAATAAATATAATTAAATCATCCCGTTTGTGAGGTTTAATTGATGTGTTTTTAGACCACCTCCTGTCACATGATGCGGGTCGCGAATGACTTCACGCTCTGTCATGGCTGCGCGAGACATAAACATGCCAGTGGTTCAGTAATTCAGAGCATTAAACTAGTGTGATGATTAAAGCAGCCGCCATAACCAATCATTTTGCCTTGAGGTCCGCCATATGAAATCGGCTGGTCGGTGTTTAGTGCGGCAGGTGAAGTGATAGCTGTGTTGTAGATCACAGGAAGGATGACTGAAGCCGTGCTGGAGCATCACGGCGGCTCACAGAGTTCCTGTAGGACAGGCTCCAAATCCTGGCAGTACAGGTAAGTTACTTCACACAAACAGCTCCTTTACAAACAAACAGTGTTTACTTATGAGCCATGTTAACTGTTCAATATCAAATAGCAAATGCTACGTGTCTAATACGAGGAGAGCTTGCACAATATTCCATTTCCGGAGTAAACTGGACTTGAACACATGCCACTCTGATCTTATTCCTGTCATCATGTCCTTCCAACCCGTATGATTTTCTTTCTTCCATGCATCACAAAATGAAATGTTAGGCAGAATGACAGCCTCAGTCTCCTTTCACTTTCATTATATATACATAAACACGACTGACCACACGACTGATGTATATGACAAGGAGAGCTTGCACAATATTCCATTTCCGGAGTAAACTGGACTTGAACACATGCCACTCTGATCTTATCCCTGTCATCATGTCCTTCCAACCCGTATGATTTTCTTTCTTCCATGCATCACAAAATGAAATGTTAGGCAGAATGACAGCCTCAGTCTCCTTTCACTTTCATTATATATACATAAACACGACTGACCACACGACTGATGTATATGCATATATCCCAGCGTCCTGTGAATGGTCTTTGTTCATATTATACAATTTAGGGTTGATTTGGTGATGTATTCTTTTAGGTAATGGTATGAAAGTCTTGCACACACTAGTTGTTTTACAGCATGATGTTTTCTTTTTTAAGTGATCTGATGGAAAAGGTGGATGGGTATTTGATGAAGTACACCAATCTTGTGACAGGATGGCAGTATCGGTGAGTCTGAAGTATCTATTTAATATGAACGGGCCCAAATGAAATCTGTGCTGATTTGGGGGGGAATCGTTAGAATTCTGCAGGTAAAATGCAATAGTTAAAATATTTAATGAACTCCTAAACTGTTATGTTTCAATTATAGATATTTTGTGCTCAACAATGAGGCAGGGCTGCTGGAATATTTTGTGAATGAGCAGTCAAGAAATCAGAAGCCCAGGGGTTCGCTGCCATTAGCCGGAGCAGTGATTTCCCCCAGCGATGAGGATTCACACACCTTCACTGTCAATGCCATCAGCGGAGAGCAATACAAACTTAGAGGTTGTCACATGATCTCTTTCAACCTTTCTTTTTTGCTAGATGGTTTCACTTCTGCTCTCTTAATCATACCGCAAGTTTTTTGTTTTTTTTTAATAAAAATGCAGCTTATACGAACATGTTTCACTTGTCTGATCTGAGCTAATATTATCCAAATATTATAATTTATATTTATTACCTGTTTGTGTAACTTCAGCCTCAGATGCAAAGGAGCGACAGCACTGGGTCAGCCGACTGCAGATCTGTGCGCAGCACCACACAGAGGCGATGGGCAAAGTGAGACTTGCATCCAGACACCTGTAATACAGTTAACATCACCGTACTGCTCAGTGATTTAAGTTACAGGAACAGACAGACAATCTGTTAAATTACAATGCCCCGAAAATAGTTATTTCAGAGTTTAAAATTCTGTCATCATTTTTTCACCATCATATCATTCATAACTGATACATTTTACCAGTTTTCTTTCGAGAACCAATGCCATTTGGCATTGATGACATCAAGTCTGATATTTTACTAGTTTTTGCCATGATGATAAGCAAAGAAACTGTAATGGTGTTAAAAAACAAGCTTGTATGATGTGACTTTGCACTGCATATTTGACTTTACTGTATGTGACTGGATGAGATGCACTTATATTTTGGGTCTGTTTCTCAAAACATCAGAAGACTTTGATTATAGCCCACAAATTATAATGCCTACATTTATTTGCCCTTCTTGGAGCTTTGCTGTCATAATCATCACCAGCTTTCTAGCATTTTTTTTTTTTAATCTCTGCTTTAGTGTTCCTTGAAAATACAGATTTGGAGCGAAATGATGATAAAATTGTAATTTCTGGGTGATCAAATTCTTTCAGCAATTATCCATAATCCCACAGACAAACCCACCGCTCCAGACTCGCAGTCTCTCCATGGCGTCTCAGGGCAGTGGCAGCTCTCCAGGATCTCAACACAGGATCAACCAGAACTCAAACGCCCTGTTGGGCCTGTCCCAAATGCAGCGTGGCTCATCTCTTTACTCCAGCAGGAAGTCGCTGCTGCCTGATCACTTGCTGGAGGCCAGAGAGGTGAGACTGAATGATGCTTTTAGAGGCCCAATTGCATATCTCTTTGTAACTTCATAAGTATGTGATCTAAATTTTGAGGTGTAGGATGTTCATTAACCATTAAATGCTCCTTCTTCAGATGATGAGCCAGGTTCAGGGCCAGCACAGAGACCTGATCCAGAGTATTGAGGGTCTGCCCTCCTCCCAGGGTCCCTCTCCCTTGGACCAAGACTTGCTGCTGCTGAAAGCTACTTCTTTGGCCACCATGACCTGCCTTAGCGACTGCCTGCATATCCTGCAGCTCCAACAAGTGGCTCGGCAGAAAGTTCCTCTCAGTGGTGAGTTTTTTTTAATCTGTGTTGATCCTTGTTGTTTTCTTCATTATGTTAAATGTAACAGTAGATATGTTTACATCTCTTCATTTTATGTCACTTGTGCATTACATGTGTACATGCCCAGTGTATAATGGATAATAGAAAAACAAAAAAATATATATTTTTTTTAAATGTTTAAAAAAATGTGAAATGAGGTACGTGATGCTAGATGTCTGGCTCCACTAATATTAGACCTGACTTTTTACTTTATGCTTTGTCTCATGCTACTGCAGTGCTTAGATGTTAAGTGAATGCATTTCTCTTCCAGTAAAAGACAGTAAGAGGGTTATTTATAAGCACAGCTTCCATCACAGAAATTATTGATTGGTGCTGCTCCTATGTGTCATACAGCATGAGTCTCTTTTTGTATCCCTCTCTGCTTTTCTTGACAAGATTTTAGCAGGAAATTAGCAGCATTTTGTTAACTTTTTTTTTTTTTTAGAGTGGCCATATCCTATATATCCTATCCTGTATTTATATATTTAAACATTAAAGGGATAGTTCACCCATAAATGAAAATTCTATCATCATTTACTCACCTTCATGTCGTTCCAAACCTGTATGAGTTGCTTTCTTATGTTGAACACAAAAGAAGATATTTTGAAGATTGCTGGTAATCAAACAGTTGGTGGTTGCCATTGACTTCCATAGTAGGAAAAAAAAAATACTATGGAAGTCAATGGCGACCACCAACTGTTTGATTACCAGCCATCTTCAAAATATCTTCTTCTTCATTTTTGGGTTCTATTGGCTGCCAAAATGCAATCCAAAGATTAATAATGTAGAGTCTTTTAGAGAACCACACATGCTCTCTTTCTGCAAATCCGCTATCAGACAGTTATTGAATACCTTAAATCACATATACACTGCGACTCACTGATCCTTATGTGTAATCCAGGTCAGTGCAATACGATCAAAATACACAATGCCACAAGCCCTTCTGCTCACGTCACAGTGTCTGGGTGCACCAAGATAACCAATAGCTGAACAGAAAAATGGTAGTTAATTTTCCATTTGATATTATAGAAAAACCACAAGCGTTTGTGGTCTCAAATCTAATAATCTCAGGTCATGTTTGTGCCTGTAGAATTTGACCTAGGGCCCTGCTCAGGGAGTGGAATATTGTTTTATAATTAATGAGGAACTGTATCCACCACTGATAGACTTCTGCAGGTAACCAGAGCTCTGCTGGCGTCACTCAAGCGCGGCGGTTGACAGACTTACCAAATTGTGTTACTATACCGTCGTCAATTCTCAGATGAAGTTGTTTCCTGTCAGATTTGCATGTTTGGGGATTCTTCTGGCCCAAAAACCCTTGGAGTTTTGCAAAACTGAAGCCTTCTAGCTGTCAAGCGACTTTAATGCTACCCAGTCATGAAGCATACATATTTTATTACTCTCTGACTAGAAAGAAACAAGATGTAAACATCCCACAGTTCCAGGATCACCTGCATTTCTACTGTAAAAAGTAGTGAGCCACCTTGTGAACTTTCTGAACTTCCTAATAACTGGAACAAAACAAAAACCACCAGATTAGTCTTTGTGCCAATAAGCAAACAAGTCAACAATGGGCAGGGCTCCATGCAGACGGTGAGACCCTGGGCTCAGGTTTCCACTCAGAGCTCTGTGTCAGTTGTCAGAGCGCTAAACACCCAGAAATCCTGTGGCGTTAGAGGCTGCTGTTGGCTTGTGGGCATCGTGCTGGTGGGCCGGTGATATGAGCACCTCTGAGCCAGGTTTTGTGTGCCCTGTAGGCCCTGCACTCGAGTGGCTGGAGCCAAAACTTCCAGACATCCTGAAGAATGGAGGGACGCTACCCAGCATCACCAAAGATGATGGCAAAACAGAGGGAACCATTCTGGAACCTTTAGAAATGGAGTCCTGTGATATCGCTGGAGTAAGATTACCTTTATCTAAACTTTTTCTTATCATTCTTGCTAACTGTGGTATTATTTTACAAATGTGTTTGAATGATTTGCAAACAAATCTGAGTTTGAAGAATCTTTAAAAGTCCTTATTGAATGATTATGCATGATTTGAAAAGTCATTGGTCAAAAAGTGTGGGACTTGATCACTAAAGTGGTTGTCCAAATAAAGTGTGGAAAATTGATTTCTGAGGATCTGAGCTTGTCTTAGATTTGGCATTTTTAATTATATTTATAATGACTAAATGTCTTTAAAAAGTATTTAAATACTCAAGTCTCCCTTAAGTACTGTATGTATCAGTATTGATAAAATATCAAATCACGTGGCATCTGCAAACAAATGATGCTTTTCTCAGAACTAACAGCACTGGTGATTTTTGTGGTTACGGTATATTCTAAACATCTGGTTTAGTAGCCTAGTAGTGTAATCATCGGTCCAGGTTTTGTGTGCCCTGTAGGCCCTGCACTTGAGTGGCTGGAGCCAAAACTTCCAGACATCCTGAAGAATGGAGGGACGCTACCCAGCATCACCAAAGATGATGGCAAAACAGAGGGAACCATTCTGGAACCTTTAGAAATGGAGTCCTGTGATATCGCTGGAGTAAGATTACCTTTATCTAAACTTTTTCTTATCATTCTTGCTAACTGTGGTATTATTTTACAAATGTGTTTGAATGATTTGCAAACAAATCTGAGTTTGAAGAATCTTTAAAAGTCCTTATTGAATGATTATGCATGATTTGAAAAGTCATTGGTCAAAAAGTGTGGGACTTGATCACTAAAGTGGTTGTCCAAATAAAGTGTGGAAAATTGATTTCTGAGGATCTGAGCTTGTCTTAGATTTGGCATTTTTAATTATATTTATAATGACTAAATGTCTTTAAAAAGTATTTAAATACTCAAGTCTCCCTTAAGTACTGTATGTATCAGTATTGATAAAATATCAAATCACGTGGCATCTGCAAACAAATGATGCTTTTCTCAGAACTAACAGCACTGGTGATTTTTGTGGTTACGGTATATTCTAAACATCTGGTTTAGTAGCCTAGTAGTGTAATCATCGGTGTAGTTCAACGCCTTAAAGCTTGTCTGCCATTGGTCAGGCCACAAAATTTTTTTCGCCCTGGTCTTACGCCATTGGTTGAGCCGGTGCTGTTACAGTAGTAGCAGGCTGGTCAGGATGCTTAAGCAAACATCAGAGTTTTTATAGCACCACAGAGACTTTACACTTGTCTTGACACTTTTTCATGGAGATCAATGTGCAAAAGTGACACAAAAGACTTTTACTTTGTTACCCAAAAATTCTATAAAAAAAAAATTCTGTTAATTTGAAAATTCAAGTAATCAAGCAATCCTGAAAAGTTTCCACAAAAATATTACGCAGCACAACTTTTTCAACATTAAGGATAATAAGAAGAAATGCTTCTTGAGCAGCAAATCAGCATATCATGGAGATCAATGTGCAGAAGTGACACAAAAGACTTTTACTTTGTTACCCAAAAATTCTATTTAAAAAAAAATTCTGTTAATTTGAAAATTCAAGTAATCAAGCAATCCTGAAAAGTTTCCACAAAAATATCACGCAGCACAACTTTTTTCAACATTAAGGATAATAAGAAGAAATGCTTCTTGAGCAGCAAATCAGCATATTAGAATGATTTCTGAAGGATCATGTGACACTGAAGACTGGAGTAATGACTGCTGAAAATTCAGGTTTGCCATCACAGGAAAAAAATCATAATGAATTAATTACATTTATTCATTATGAATATTTCAGAATATATTTTTACATTTTGAAATATATTGAAATACAAAACAGTGATTTTAAATTGTAATAATAGTTATCAATATCACTGTTTTTACTGTATTTTCTGATCAGATAAATGCAGCCTTGGTGAGCAATAGAGATTTTTTTTTTTAATTTACAAAAATCTTACATACTCCAAACTTTTGAGTGGTATTAGTGTTTTAACATCGAATTACACGCTCCAGCTTTAACCATTTTCCAAAAAGCGTGTGAGTGCTTTGTCTTCATTTTGAATAGATCTATTTTTAATCATTTTAATACCTGCTTTAGTGAAATATTTGGCTTAAAAAGTGTGCTATATTTGTTTAAAAAAAATAAAAATGGTTTAATATTTAGTTATAAGATTGAATGACATTCATGCATTTTGACTGTCTGAAGTATCTGAATATGTTTTGGGGCCTGTACACAGCAACACAGTCATTGACAGATGTATTCATAACAAATGCCGGTGATAATTACTGACAACTGACATTATTGTTTTGGAAAAGACTGAGACTGAATCTCAAGAGTGCTCCTTTGCTTCAGTTACCTTCACGTAAACAAACACCTGTCCTGAGCCTTCCTGAAAATCAGACTGTAGACAGGGCTCCCTATTGACCTAAGTAAACTTGTCTGCGGTGTTAAATGTTTACTATGCTGTAGGTTTTTTTCCCCTGAATATTCTTGAATAATATTTTGCTTCACATGACTGTATCATTCATCATTTTAGGCAGCATAACAGATAGATTTACATTTCAAAAACAATCATATACATTCAAATATATAAATATTCTACATTATGTAAAGCTGTTTTTGGCAGGTGTCATTAGTGGTGTTTGCTGAGGCTGTTACTGTTACTCATACTTAGGGTTTGAGTTTTAAACAAACAAAAACAATGATGCCTCATTTTGTGCAGCCTCTTGAAATAGGTGTGCTGTTACTTAAGTGATCATATTTATGAATGTCATGGTAAAATAGGAAAGAGATCAGAGACTTACACTGAAGGAAAGATTCAAGCCATATTTAGGATACGAATATCATAGAGAATAGGTTCATGGAACACTTAGTGTAGTAATACCTTAGGATTATAAAATGATCATTTCCAGGCCTGGAACAGCTATAGAGGTCATTAAAATTTTTAATTATATACGTTGTCTACATTGAATAGTTTTTTTTTTCAACTCTAAAAAGTTTAATCAGCTCTTAGCCTTTAAATAGCCTTTACTATATTTTCTGATTTAATTTTTATTTTATTTAACATTTTAGTGATTTTATGTGCTTTGATAAGTTTTATTAGATTACATTTCTACACAGCTTTCATTTATTTTTATTTCAGTTCAAGTAATTTTAGTACGTCAAAACATTTTTTTATTTTTTATTTTTTTAGTTGCCAACCATTCTTTATTACTGTATCATCTAATATTTGTATTTTATTTTAGTTTTATGTCTATTAACGAAAATTATTTTTAATATTTTAAATATTCTCAGTTCAATAAAATACTGTTTTTTAAATATTTCTCTATTGGCTTTTTTATTAGATAATTAAGCCTCTACCTCTATAAAATGTAAAACAAACTAAAAAAGGTAGCCTGTAATTACTGAAAAGTTATGGAAAGGTCTTTGGTCACAAGGTGTAGAAACTCTGTAGAGACTTTGAGGGCTCTGAAAAAAAAGGCTAGTTCTGTCCTTGTGATTATAGTGTTTTACTGGTTAAGTAGGATGTGATCCTGAAGTTTGGTTTGGGTTTCAGGAGCAGGAGGAGATTGATGCCACACAGGAGGTAGATGATTCAGCTCTGGCCGAGGAGGAGGAGCTGGGTGCTGTCGAAGAGGAGCGCAGCGTCATTCTGCACCTCCTCTCTCAGCTCAAACTGGGCATGGACCTAACCAGGGTATATCAGCTCCATCTCATTAATGGCTCTCATTTCATCTTGTGTCTTTCTCAAACCTCAGATAAAGTTTTTAATCATACCACTTTGAATGAAATCTGTTATACACTAAAAAACTCAAATAGGTTTTACTCAGAAATTGCTGCTACATTTCATGCATAATTACCAAGAAATGGCAAGTAACGCATTGAATAGGAAATTTTAAAGTAGAAATACTGAAATAGTGTTATCTTGTAAAAAAATACTCCAATAATCTTTGTTTTGATTATGCTTTCATCAAAATATTTTTTTAAAGTGTACGATTTATTCATGATGAAATAATGCAGTGTTTTAAATGGGCGTATAGGTGGTCCTGCCTACCTTCATTCTGGAGAAGCGCTCCTTGTTGGAAATGTATGCAGACTTCATGTCCCATCCAGACCTTTTCGTGGCCATCACCGATGGCTCCAGCCCGATGGACCGTATGGTCCGATTTGTGGAGTATTACCTCACTTCCTTCCACGAAGGTCGCAAAGGTGTAATTGCCAAGAAGCCTTACAACCCCATCATTGGAGAGACCTTCCACTGCTCTTGGAAAGTACCCAAAGCGACAACGCCTCCGTCAGCAGACCCAAAAGAAGGGACGTCGTGCGCATCAGACTGCTACAATGTCCGCTTTGTGGCTGAGCAGGTTTCCCATCATCCACCTGTGTCAGGCTTCTATGCAGAATGCCAGGAGAGACAGATGTGTGTCAACACCCACGTGTGGACCAAGAGCAAGTTCATGGGGATGTCCATTGGTGTCTCTATGATTGGAGAAGGTGGGTTTCGCCTGCCTTGCACGCATTTTTGCATGTCCATTGTTGATTATTAGAAATGTTCATTCCTGTGCTCGCAGGTAATCTACACCTATTGGAGCACGGTGAGGAATACACCTTCAGTCTGCCTTCTGCTTACGCCCGCTCTATCCTCACTGTGCCCTGGGTGGAACTGGGAGGAAAGGTCAATGTCAACTGTGCCAAGACAGGCTACTCTGCAGTCATCACCTTCCAGACAAAGCCTTTCTATGGGGGCAAGCTGCACAGGTCAGGATCACATTACATGACTCCATTTTCCATCTCTGTGAGACGGTATAGTGTTTTCAATGTAAATGTATACAGCAGCCCTGAAGAACTGTTAATTAGTATACACTACCATTAAAAGGATGCATCAAATTAATCAAAAGTGACTGTAAAGAGTAAATACATTTGTTTCCACAATAATATTAAGCAGCACAACTATTTTCAACACTGATAATAATATTATTTTCTTAAGCACCAAATCAGCACATTAGAATGATTTCTGAAGGCTCATGTGACACTGAAGATTGGAGTAATGGCTGCTAACAATTCGGCTTTGACATCACAAGAATAAATTACATTTTGAAATATATTCAAATTGGAAATATTTTAAATTGTCACAATATTTCACAATATTACTTATTTTTTTACTGTATTTTTAATTAATTTAAATAATAAATAATTATTTTAAATAATAAATAAATGCAGCCTTGGTGAGCATAAGAGACTCCTTCATAAGAGACAACTGCCTTTTTTTTGGTGCTTTGCCTTAAAGACTTCAGTGTGAGTTTGCTGTGGGGTCCAGTATAGTTTGCACTGCTCCGTTACATTGGTTCACAAAACAATCTAGCAAAGATCAGACTGAAATAGTCAGGGATTCTATACAAATGAAAGGGGACAAGTGCAACTGGCTGAAAAAGTATCTAGATGCCAGCTTTAGTATCAGTATGGTCTTTTTGGAGTGTTGAGGAGTTCTAAGTGACAGGATCACTTGAATATCCAAAACAAAACAAATGTTGAACAGGGACTTATGGAAAAATAAACGGGGTGGGGTGAATTTTCATTTTATGTTGACTTCTAAAGATGAAGTTAATTTGGGTTCTTTATGATATGAGCACTTTTATTCAGAAAGCTGAGCCAGTGGACTGTAACAAAAACCTGTGCTTTGTTCCTCAGAGTGAACGCAGAGGTCAAACACAACCCCACCAACTCCGTGGTGTGCCGTGTGCAGGGCGAGTGGAATGGCGTGCTGGAGTTTACCTACACCAGCGGGGAGACACGTGTTGTAGACATTACCAAACTCCCCGTCACCACAAAAAGAGTACGGCCCAATGAGCTGCAAGGACCCTACGAGTCTAGGTAACACCAGCCAATCAGTTTACTGTTATATTCAAGCCACACGATTGAACCATACAGTGCCAACAGTGTTAATGTCGATAAGATGGCACATGTCTTTTAAATGAGCCAATAAGGAATAGTTAAAAAAAATTATATTGTGAAGGTCTGAGAAAGTAAGTTATATGTGTTTGGAACAAAATGAGGGTCAGGATATGATATATTTTTTTGGAGGAACTATAAGTGAAAATCATAATTTCTCCATAACTGTCCTGTTGTCTGTGGATTCAGAAGCATTTACTGAGAACGTGTTGATGTGGTGCGAAGGCTCCGTCTTTAATCCGTGACTCTTCTCCCTGCAGGCGACTGTGGCAGCATGTGACGGAGTCTCTCAAGGAAAGAGATATGGATAAAGCCACGGAACACAAGCGCTTCCTGGAAGAAAGGCAGAGGAAGGAGGAAAGGCATCGCGCAGAGACACAGACAGCATGGAGGACCAAATACTTTGAGCGCAAAGTAAGAACACATCTGCAGCTTATTTTTAAAATCATATGCTAATTTGCATATATTGAAAATAGTATATTATAAAAGAAAAGTTACTGAAGATATTTTGGATGTATTGTTGTTTAACTCTTGTTAAGGATTACTTGGAAAAACTACAAACAGTGGAAAACAGGCAATGTTATTATAAATAAAATAAATTTTTGTCCGTGAAATGTGACAGATTCTTGTACTTTTCAACACATCCCACTCTTGGCTACATTTGAAGTTTCATGGCACAGTTTGTCTCAATTAATGCCCTGTTTCACTTGGAAATGGGTAAGAAACAACACTGTGTTGAGTGTCAAAGTGAAGCTTGAATGGAGTGCTGCAGGAAGGAGTCCTAAAACTCAGAAATAAGCACTTCTGGTTCCATCGTCCTGAAGTCAGTGGGTTTTTTAAAGGTTTTTTTTGGCCTGAAATAAGGTCTGAGGTTGATGCAAGCTTGAGATATTTTCACAATTTATTCAACAACATAAAATACATCAGTGTTTCTTTTTAAGTTATTGTGTGTCTTGAAAAAGGGGTCTACAGAGGTTGTCAGGAACATTAAATGTCACCACGCTCATCAGAACTCATCTACTCTTGTCTTTTAAATGAGCCAACTTAACAGCAAAACAAGTGATTTAAAGGAATAGTTAAAAAAAATTATATTGTGAAGGTCTGAGAAAGTAAGTTATATGTGTTTGGAACAAAATGAGGGTCAGGATATGATATATTTTTTTGGAGGAACTATAAGTGAAAATCATAATTTCTCCATAACTGTCCTGTTGTCTGTGGATTCAGAAGCATTTACTGAGAACGTGTTGATGTGGTGCGAAGGCTCCGTCTTTAATCCGTGACTCTTCTCCCTGCAGGCGACTGTGGCAGCATGTGACGGAGTCTCTCAAGGAAAGAGATATGGATAAAGCCACGGAACACAAGCGCTTCCTGGAAGAAAGGCAGAGGAAGGAGGAAAGGCATCGCGCAGAGACACAGACAGCATGGAGGACCAAATACTTTGAGCGCAAAGTAAGAACACATCTGCAGCTTATTTTTAAAATCATATGCTAATTTGCATATATTGAAAATAGTATATTATAAAAGAAAAGTTACTGAAGATATTTTGGATGTATTGTTGTTTAACTCTTGTTAAGGATTACTTGGAAAAACTACAAACAGTGGAAAACAGGCAATGTTATTATAAATAAAATAAATTTTTGTCCGTGAAATGTGACAGATTCTTGTACTTTTCAACACATCCCACTCTTGGCTACATTTGAAGTTTCATGGCACAGTTTGTCTCAATTAATGCCCTGTTTCACTTGGAAATGGGTAAGAAACAACACTGTGTTGAGTGTCAAAGTGAAGCTTGAATGGAGTGCTGCAGGAAGGAGTCCTAAAACTCAGAAATAAGCACTTCTGGTTCCATCGTCCTGAAGTCAGTGGGTTTTTTAAAGGTTTTTTTTGGCCTGAAATAAGGTCTGAGGTTGATGCAAGCTTGAGATATTTTCACAATTTATTCAACAACATAAAATACATCAGTGTTTCTTTTTAAGTTATTGTGTGTCTTGAAAAAGGGGTCTACAGAGGTTGTCAGGAACATTAAATGTCACCACGCTCATCAGAACTCATCTACTCTCTCCGCTTTTACAGCCTCAATGTGTTTGTAATCACGCTCTTGCAAAATATTCGAATTCAAATTTTCCAACTAGTAGATTTTAAATGAAGATTGAAAGAGTCGTCGGAAGCTTAGTGGCGGTGACGTTAAAGTCACGTGACCGTGGTGTGTTTGTTTAAAGCCTACCTTTAGCTTTTTACTTCTGCCAATTATATTTAGGCTTCAAAACAGTTGTGTAAATTTACGAAGACTATCTTGCCATACAACACAATGAGAAGCTAATCTTCTGCAGTAATTCAAAAGCATACATGTATGTAAAAACCCTATTGGGTTTTTATCGGGTGAATTATGGTAATGCTAACTTCTGGTTTGGCCCTCTTTTTTTTTTTTTGTCTTTTTCTAGGGTGAAGGCTGGGTGTATTACCAACCACTGTGGAAAACGGCGGCCCATAGCTCTTCCCCAGTGTCCACTCCACAAAACCCATGACCTCTGACCTTTTAAGACCTGAGTCCAGGCATTGTACAGCCTCCTGCTGCAGTAAACCTCTGCTCCGGTGTTCCCTCTCTCACAGATGAAGACATACACTCTCCTTTGTATGATTCTGATATGATTGTATGACTCTGATGTTCATATTTTGCATCCTTCGGTGGTAAGAATTTTGTAGAACTACACAGTGAATGATTTCTTCAATCCGCACACAGATATTGTTTGTTAATGTTGCCTTAACGAGTGTCGTATGTAACGAGGGCTGAGTACAGTGTGCCGGTTCTTAACGTGGGATTGTGTTTGAGGTGAACTTCTTAATCTAACCATACTGTGGTGTACTGTATTTGACCACGTTACGGTCAAAGTCGTTATCATGATTTAGATGATATCAAATGAAATGCAGGATTAGGGGAGCTCGTTCAGGAAGGTGGAGTTGAAAAGGACAGGCGTCTAGTTGCGTTGATAACTGGCAAGATGTGAGTTGTTATTGCTTAGCCAGATGCAGCTGGAGTGTTGATGAGAAAGAAACCGTTGGCTTGGCTTTCGTATGATGCTGTCTTTTTCTCGTTCTCGCTCTGGTAAATAAAGCTTGCAGGCGCTATACACAAAATCTGGGCCGGATGGAAGTGTTCAGGTTCAGGCCTGCTCTTCTGTTTCTGGTTGATGTTCAGTGAACAATTATGTTGGCTTAAAGGGATAGTTCACCCCCCCAAAAAATTCTGTGATCATTTACTCACCCTCATGTCATTTAAAATCTGTAGGACTTTCTTTCTTCTGTGGAACACAGATTTTTTTAACTGTTTTTTTTTTTTTTCATACAGTGAAAGTCAATGGGGTGGGTCCAAAGGTTATAATGACATAAGGGTGAATAAATGTAACCAAATTGTCATTTTAGGAGAACTATCCCTTTAATGCTTACGTTGAGCACTTTAACTGTTTAGACCTAGAAAAGAGCCAGCCTTATAATATTCTCTATATGCATAATAATATGTGTAAATACAACCCGATTAGACAGTATTATTGGAGATACAGTAAGCTCTGTCAAAAGTTCTGGCGGACACCAATCTGATCTGTCAAAGTAATGCAGTTTAATTTTATGATTTCGGACTGCTACGTTCCACTTCGATTCTACCTCGATTGACATTGATAACATTGTTTTTTTTGAAGGGATAATTACCCAAAAATACAAAATTTGACTCACCCTTATGTTTACTCACCCTTATGTTGTTCTTTGTAGTCCATATGACTTGTGCGCTACATTAAAAGTCATCTTGTCAGATTTCAGTCTTAAATGTCATTTAGATGCCTGTCAGACTAGATTTCAGTCTAGCGGAGGAAAAAAAAACTTCTTAAACCAGTTGGTCTTAGATGGTTTCTCAGCTTGGTCAGCCAAAACACCAGCCTGGTTTTTAAGGGGACTTCGGCACTTTTCAGCTGCTCAGATTGGAAGACCAGCGAAGGCCACCAAACTAGGTTTGACTGTTTTTTTTTTTTTTTCAGCAGGGCATTAAAACTATCATATGGTTTCCGAAGACTTTGTTGTATACAAGTTTTATAGAGCACTTTTATGGTGTTTTATGGAGTTCTGAGGTATAAGTCACAATTCACTTTTCTTGCAAAAGAGCAGCTTGGACATTCTGCCTGACATCTCCTTTTGTATTTCACAGAAAATAAGAAAATAATATGAGCTTTGGAATGACATGAGGGTGAGTAAATGATGCCAGAATTTTCATTTTTGAGCAAACTCCTTTAGGCGCAATCAAGATGTGTTGATAGCACCTATTCCTTGCTAAAGGTTCAGGTTTTTAGTTAGCTGGTCATGTTAGTAATAGATTTTTTGGTAAAAGGTTTAACCACATCAAATTTAAGGTTTCAAAGTTCTTCCAAGATTTTGTGTTTAAATGCTTCATTGTTCAATTTGCCAGCGGGGAACAGTTGGAGTGACGGTGCTGGCTGAAGTGTTGCATCTCTCATATAATCTCTGCTTTAGCCCTGGCATTGGTTGCGCTGAGAAACTTGTGGTGCCTTATTTGTGTTAGTCTTCCTCCCGTTCCGCCTCACAGCCGTCCGCTTTCTCATTAAAACAGAGCAAGACTGAAGCCACAGCCTTTGTACATATCTCCTTTCATTTTCCTGTCAGCAAAAATCCAGAATTCCCACGAAGCGTTTGGTACATCAGCTGTGCTCTCCACTCAAATCATAAACTGCACTGATGTTTTAAATACACTCCCTGTAGCCTCAGAAAATATGATTGAAAAAATAAAATTAATATATTGGAGGATTTCAACTGTTAGTGAACTTTCTGTCTGTGTGGTTTCAAGAAATGTTGCAAATATTTCACTAACTGGTATATAAAAGAAGCTCCGTGGGTTCCATTTTGCTAATTCTTTTAGAATTATGCATGTGGCATTATGATCTAATATTCATTAAAATATGGAATGTTTTGTACTTGATTTGTCACATTGACAGACCATTTAAAATAACCTAGGAAATTCAAAACTAAGGAACCCATTCTCTGCCTTAGAGTAAAAAACATAATAAAGGTAATTGCGACTTTATTTCTCACAATTGTGACTTTATTTGGTTTAATTGTATTTCACATAGTGTGGCTTAATATCGCACATTTGCAACTTTACGTTGTGACCATATATTTCACAGTGTCACTTTATCACAGTTGTGATTTTATACTTTACAATGCAACTTGATTTCTTGCGATTGCAACTTCATATCTCAAAGTTGGACTCAGCCTTATTTTAAATGTTAACCTTTCTCACAATTACCAGTTTTATATTTTATTCTGAGGCAGAAACAGGTTTCTATACAAAACAGTGATTAGAAATAATACCGTTTTCCTTATATACTACCATTCAGATGTTTGGGGTCAGTAAGGGTTTTTAGTAAGAAGTTACTTTATACTTTCATTCAGCAAGGAAACATTAAATTGATCAAAAGTGACAAGTACAGACTGTTCGTTTGTTACTTTTGCTATTTCAATTCCTCAAAGAATCATAAAAAAGTATAAAAGTGTCCACAAAAAATATTAAGCAGCACAACTTTTCAACACTGACATTAATAAGAAATGTTTCTTAAGGACCCAAATCAGCATATTAGAATGATTTCTGAAGGATCATGCAACAGTGAAGACTGGAGTAATGTAATTTGTAATTTGAATTGTAATATTTCACAATATTACTGTATTTTTTGATCAAATAAATGCAGCCTTGGTGAACCTTGGAGAACTGTTTTTCAAGAATATGTAAAAATCTTTCCGACCTCAAACTTTTTGAACAGTAGTGTAAAATGTAACCCAGAAATGTTGTTTAAAAAAAGTCAATGGACACATTATGCATATACATTTTATAAAGTGATTACTGTACGGCTGTGAAGCCAGTTCACACTAGGAATGGGCAAAATGACATCTTTGCTTGCCTCATCTCCAGTAATGGAAAAAGCATAACAGGTTGCCATATGTTCATGTTGACATTTGCACAGAAAGTATTCATCTCCATCAGTTCTTTTTCCAGTGTGCAATCTGGTATGAATTTTCCCTGTCCCTCAAAGTAGCTCTGTAGAATTTGGGTGAACCTCAGATTGCTTAAAAAACATTGGAGCGTAAATGCAGGCTCTTTAGAAACTAGACAAGTTAGTGTCATGCTTTTCTCTTTGCCTGAGACCCAAGCTCATTGATGTAACAAATCATTAGTATTACTGAATCCTGTTTACCATTAGAAGCGAGTCTAAGGAATCTTTTAAAAGTTGCTCTTTTTCTTTTAATTAGGATAAGCTAATTGATTATAATCAATAAGTCTGGAATGAACAGGCTCATCCTCAACTTCTGGAGCAGGACATTGATAAGATAAAAAGCCTTCATGTAGTGGTCATTTCATTAAAGTATTCAGGTCAGTGGTTAAAACGGGGTCAGTGCAAAGCAACTCCCCAGAGCAAAAGAAATGTCGGGCTCAGATCACATTTTGAAGTTATTCTAAAATTATTTGAAAGGACTACAACCCTGTGTGAGCAATGAAATGAAACTGGTTCTTTTTTATGTCTAAAAACAGCAGTTATGTTGCTAGTGTATCGTCTGTGGTTCTGTGGTTAATCAAATTGAAGTCCCCCCAAAACTGAGTTTATGGGAAGATCACGTGGATTTCATGAGTGAGTGAGTCAGAAAGGGCAATGGAAAATTGTAAATCAGAAAATTATGTGTGGTAAACATTTTTGGGAAAACATGTTAGTAATAACTGCGCTATTTGCAGCTTTCTGCCACGTACCCCTAACTTCACCTGCGTTAGCTTTTTTTTTTCTTTTCTTTTCTTTATGGCACAAAGCAGCCTTTTCATCCTTCACTACATCCTTTAACGACATTATACAAGTAAACGAGGATATGTTAGAACAGAAACCCTCTTTTGTCCGTCAGTTTAGATTAGCATTTAAAGAAAAACGGAGACCAGCTCCACATAATGATTCGATATGGATTACAAGAAGAAGTCTGATATTTCCAGGCAGTTCACATTTGACTTGGTTGCCTGGAGGAAGCGGAGATCTGTGTGTCAGATGTAACAAGCGGACGGATGCCAGTGCTGTGGTCCGTGCAGGGAGGAAGGAAGGGAAGGGATGGGCTTTGGTCCTCTGTAGATGGCAATATAGGTGCGTGGGTGCAGATGGAGTTCTCCAGCTCTTCCTGTGCCAGAGTATTAAAGCGCTCCACCACACAGTGTGCCGTCAGACGAGCCTCCGGGTCATGATCCCAGCACTCTGTTATAGTCGCACACAAGAGCTGCATGCCCTAAAAGACCAGGCAGAAATGTCAGTAACACATTCTAAGAAGCTGGTGAAAATAATTTCGGTATGCCAGTGTCAATATATATACATGTGCATATTTAAAATGTATATTTTATTAGGATATTATGTGTTATATATGTTAAAATATTATAGTTATTATTAATTGTATGAATGTGTGCACATGTAATTAATAATGTACATTTTAATTACATTTAAAACATGTAATAATTAGATTTTGTTATTATAACATGGGTATACATCAAATTTATTGAGGAGATATATATTTTTAAAATGTAATATATTTAATATAATTTTATAAAATACATTATATTGGGTATATATTAAAATCTTCTTGAACATATTCAGAAGTAAAATGCAACATACACAGTAGTGCAGCAGTAAAATGAATGTAAAACCATCCTGACAAATTATTTTTCAGAATACTGTACATACCTTTACTTTTACTCTTAATAATATATATATATATATATATGTGTGTGTGTGTGTGTGTAATGATATACGTCAAATTTTTTTTGGAAAATGAAAAAAGGTGTTTGTGTGTATTCATATATTAAACATTCAAGAAATTAAATCATTAAACAGATTTTTAAATGTGTTAAAATATTTGTCTTTTTTTTTCAAATAAATTAAAATTAAAAATACTTTAAAAAATAATATTTTGAAGAATGTTTTTACATTTTGAAGTATATATATTTAATAAGAAGCCTTCTATTTTAAATCTATATTTAAATGCGCGTATATAAAATCTAAAATTTCTGTCAGCACTGATAGCCTATTGGGCAAGTGCGTCAACATATAATGACTCTCTCTCTCCCACCTCGCTTCCTGTCTACTCTCCACTGTTGTATCATAGTAAAAAAAAAATTGATGTATACCCTTATTTTTTATGTGTTTTGTGAATACCCACTGGATGTGTTGTCCAGCTCTCTTGAATATCTGGCCGTCCTCTGTCTCTTAACACCAGGTCTCTCATGCTATCTACACAAGGTTGCTCACACACCTTGGAGCCAAATGGGGGTTCGTAACTCTTTACCTCTGTTAAAAAGAAAACAAATATGCTTAAATTCTTACAGTATGTTTTAACCTCCAGCGTCTTTCAAGCAAATATTCATCGAGAGCTTTACTTGCCTCCTATGACGTCACACCTGGAGACCATTTCCCACAGCACCAGGGCCATGGAGTAGATATCAATCTGTTTAAAGGACTCCAAGTCCTCTAGATTCACCCTGGACTCCAGAACTTCAGGGGCCATGTAGCGTGCGGTCCCCACCTACAGGACACAGACCATGTGATTTAAATCAGACAACTGCACCAAATTGAATTATCAATGGTTTCATGTGATTACATCTGTGAAATCAATCTCGGAGCTTTTATGTTACACTTAAAAAGCTTAAAGAAATGATCACTGAGCCCAGAGCAGTTCTGCCCACTCAGCTGATACATTTAGAAATGATTCGATGTGGAATGTTTTTTTTTTTTTTTATGTGTGTGCAACAGATGCAACATTTGAAAACATTGGCTCTGTTCTGAAACCTAAAGAGCTGCCTACGCAGGCATCATATGTGCGTTCTTGGCGACTACACTGTCTTCCAACATTCTTGATTTTGGCCAGTTTCCAAGGCAAAAACTATTGAAATCTGGTTCCCAGGCACTATTTATGCCACTTATAGTTGCTGCCTATGTACAGCATTTTTACATTTTCTCAAAAATCCAAGATGGCAGGTAACAAAACAAAATATTTATTATAAATATATACTACTGTTAAAAAGTTTAGGCTCAGACTTTTTTTTTTCTTTTATTCAGCAAGGTTAAAATGTTACAAAAGATTTCATTTTCAAATAAATTCAGCTATTTTGAGTGCTCTGTCATGAATCCTGAAAAAAGTATCACAGTTTCCACAAAAATATGAAGCAGCACAACTGCTTTCAACATTGATAATAGTAAACTACATTTTAAATCTGTATATTTTCATTAAATTGTAATAATATTTCATAATATTACTGTTCTACTGTATTTGGGTCAAATAAATGCAGCCTCGGTGAGCAAAGAGACTTATTTCAAAAGCATTTAAAAATGTTTCCAACAACAAACTTTTAGTAGTGCACTTATTGTCATTTAGTACCTTAAAGTATTGATTAAAATACATAATTTTACCCAAAATACATTATCTTCATTATTTTGTGCTCTATATATGCATATCAGAGTATTGTGTCCTTGGCTTAGCAACAAAAACTATGTGGAATTTTACAAAAATCAGTGACATGTGAGGTTAAATTTTGTTTAGGATGCTGCCTTAGAAGGTAACTACCTATAGGCAGCAGACACCAAGGCAGCTCACTAGGTTTTGAAACCGAGCCAATATTGTGCCTACCTGTCCACTGTTGGCAAAATCATCTACGGTGAGCGAGAGGTCAAGTCGCAGAGCCAGTCCGAAATCACAGAGCGCACACTCGCTGTGGTTCTTCAGCACAATGTTGCTGCTCTTCAGATCTCTATGGGCGATGGGCACTTTTGGTGTGCCGCAGGGCATCGTATCGCTATGCAGGTGTGCCAGGCCTCTCGCCACAGAGCCTGCCAGTGAACACAGCTCAGTCCATGTGAGGATATGACCAGCCAGAAAGTCCTGAAGGTTTCCCATGTTATAATAAGCCATGATGAGCCAGTATTGCCTCTGTGGGGCGGCAGCAGTACCGGCCCTCTCCTCAGCAGTCAGGAACTGCACTATATTCTCATGTTTTAAGTTGGCGTCAGAGAATATGGCTCTTTCGTTACACCATGAGGAATACTCCACCGCCGGGAAGATCTTCACAGCCACCGTTTCGTACTGCCCACCCTCATTATGACTGAGCCGTGCCCGCCATACCTCTGCAAAGCGTCCCTTACCCACCAGCGTCTCCAGCTGGATGGGCAGCTGCTCTGTGTTGTGGTTTAGGTTATTGGCACAAGTCGAAGAGATTTCTGAATTGATGTCATCGCTGAGGGACGGCAGCATGCCGCGGAAATCGCTACCATTTACTTGGCCCTCGGCTGGATCTAGAGACTGGTAGTGGGTGCGTCGTGGCCCCCAGTCTTTGGGTTTCTTGCCAGGCTGACGTGTGCGGTACAGGTAAAAAGCCATGGTAGCAATGACAGCTACCAGGAGG